TTCAAAAGCCAGAGAAAAGAGTGACAAGCCTTGGTTTTATTCATGCTGCACTAGATGCATGGGGCTTGGCAAGTGAATCTCTCAAGCCAAGAGTGTTCATGGAATGCTGTTGGGCTCTCAGTGACTTTCCATGTGACACCAGGTGCAGTGCCAGACTTGAGGGCTCCACACACACATTTTATGGAATATAGTCTTCTTTTGGGGGCCTGTGCTACAGCTGCTGGCTTCCTGTGAATGAGAGGAGATCGGGGAAGTGACAGCCATGACATAATTTCCCTCAAATGCCCCAAAGTACCATGTGAGTTTCTTCCTTCCTGGATGAGGCACAGAAAGCTCCCAAGCCGGGGAGTGGGATTCATTACATGCACAAACACAAGGTGGTGGTATTTGAAAGCAGGAAACATTGAAATTTGATTCTCAGTCCCAGAAGCCATCTTTAATGGAATGCACACAGTCCAGGCAGCAGTCCAAGGCCCTAGTCACTTTACTTCAGTCAGATTCGGCAAGACTTAAGAAGCAGATAGACTTTGCTTTACTGCGTCAACTCCTATTAATTTTATTTTTCTTTAACTTTTATTTTTAAACTACTTAATTCTATTGCTACCTCTCCAACTTTCCTCAGCTACCTTGTTCAGGCTCATGTCCCTCAGCCCTTTCATTGCATTTTTGTTTTTGAGATGGGGTCTGGATAATTTTGCTGGGGCTGGCCTTAGACTCTAGACCCTCCTGCCTCCAGATCCACATCCTCAATAGCTAGGATTACAGACATGTGCAACTATGCCCCGCTAAATATGGCATCTGACTTTGTCTATTGTCTCTATTACCTGTCTTGTATTATTTCATTGAGTTTTGTTCCTTTTTCTCATTGGTTTAGGATTAGTCTGCTCTTCTTTCTAGCTTTTTGAGGGAGAACCTTAGGTCACTCATTTTTTTAAAAATCTCTTTTTTATTGTATGTTCTTTAACTTTCAAATATGTGAGTTTTTTTTTTTTTGGGGGTCATGGGGCCTGGACTCTGGGCCTAGGCGCTGTCCCTCAGCTCTTCAGCTCAAGGCTAGCGCTCTACCACTTGAGCCACAGTGCCACTTCCAGCTTTTTTCTTTTTGCTTATGTGGTGCTGAGGATTCGAACCCAGGGCCTCTGGCATGCAAGGCATGCGTTCTACTTTAGTTAATACTCTTCATCTTGAACCCTTGTTTTATTTAATATTAATGCAGCCATTCCTATCTTTTTATTTACGATCTACATGGTATGTCTTCTTCCATCCATTTATTGTCAAATAGTCCATATCTCTGTAGTTGAAGTGCATTTCTTTCAAGCAGTAGTTATCTTTTTTACACATTTCTGATAGTCTCTGCCTTTTAATGGGCATATTATATTATCCATTAGCATTTAATTATAACCAATAATTTAATAGTTTTACTGTTATGATTGGATTTATGTCTACCATTTCATTGTTCATTTTCTATTTGCTCCGGTTTATGTTTGTTTTTCTTGCTTGATTTATTCTCCCTTTCTTTTCTTCTGGATTTTTTTTGCTGATCCTGGGGCTTAAGCTCAGGGTCTGGGTGCTGTCCCTGAGCTTCTTTTGCTCAAGGCTAGTGCTCTACCAATTGAGCCATAGTGCCACCTCAGGCTTTTCCTGAGTACTTTATTGGAGATAAGAATTTCTGGGACTTTCCTGCCTGGGCTGGCTTTGAACTGCAATCCTCATATCTCAGCCTCCTAAGTAGCTAGAATTACAGGCATGAGCCATCAGACAAGTACCTGGTGCTTTTTTCTGGATTATTCTAATAATTTTTTTTTTGGGTCCAGTCGTGGGGCCTAAACTCTGAGCCTGAGAGCTGTCCTTCAGCTCTTCAGCTCAAGGCTAGCACTCTACAACTTGAGCCACAGCGCCACTTCCGGCTTTTTTTTTTCTGCTTATGTGGTTCTGAGGACTCGAACCCAGGGCCTCATGCATGCAAGGCAAGTGCTCTACCACTGAACTACCTTTCCAGCCCTGTTCTAATAATATTTAGAATATTATTTTATCAACGGGGCGCCAGTGGCTCACACCTGTAATCCTAGCTACTGAGGAGGCTGAGATCTTGAGGATCACAGTTCAAAGTCAGCTGGTGCAGAAATGAGACTCTTATCTCCAATTAACCACTAGAAAACTGGAAGTGGTGCTGTGGCTCAAGCGGTAGGTCACTTGCTTTGCGCTGAAGATCACAGGGATAGTGCCCAAGCCCAGAGTTCAAGCCCCACAACCAAAAAAAAAAAAAAGAATATTATTTGATCAATTGACATTTGGACTATATCTTTTTCATCTAGTATTTTACTAAAGATATTGAAATATACATTAACTGCTCAGTCAACTTAGAGATAATCTTGTACCATTTCATATAGAATGCAGAAACATTGCAATGATATAGGCTCATTTACCACTGCTCCCCTGTTAAAACTGTTATATATGTTTTATCTATGTAAGAAAACCACAGTACATTATTATTTTGCTCTAAAATCTTATGTATTTTAAAGGAGTAAAGAGGAAATGGAGTCTTCTCATATTTACTCATATGTTTTCTATTTCTATACTTTTTCTTCACTTCCTGAAGTACTGAATTTCTCTTTGATATCATCTCTCTTTGACTAGGAGAACTTTGATTTAGCATTATGTATAGTTCAGGCCAGAGGGTAAAATATTTTCATGTTTTCCTTATCTATCTAAAAGACTTGATTTTACCTTCATTATTGAAAGATAGAAAGCTGTAGGTTGACAGTTTTTCTTCTTATTCACTGTTTCTGTTTTCCATTATTTCTGATGATAAATATGTAGTAATTCATGTAATAATTCCCTGTATATGAAAGGTTACTTTTAATATTTTTTTTTACCTGTGGATTTTAGTCATTTCACTATAACTTATTCCTCTCTGAGTTTATCCTTTTTAGGCTTGATGAAATTTAATTTGTAAATTTATGTCTTCTACCAAACTTGGGGAGTTTTCAGCCATTGTACCTTAGAAATTGTTTTCTGCTTTAGTTTTCCTCTTCCCTCTTTCTGGGATACCCAAATCCTTGTTAGGGCTTTAAAAATTATCCTATTGTTCCATGGTACCTTATTAATTATTTTCAGTTACTTTTCATTTAATTAAATTTTATTATTAAATATTTATTTTTATCGCCTCCTTCCTTTATCAACTCCTTTTCTTGGGTTCATCTAAACAAAAAAATTCTTTTTAAATTTCAGATACTTACTTCTAAGTTTTAACACTCCTACTTGGTTCTTTCATGTGTTTCCTAGTCTTCTTACTTCATTACTTGTGAGCATACTTTCTATTACTTCATTCATCATAGTTATGATGACAGCATTACAATCCTTATCTGAAAATTCCAGCATCTGAGTCACATCAGGATTGGTGTCTGCTGATTCCTTTTCCCCTGAGAATGGGTCCTAATTTCTTGACACTTCTTGACACTTCATGACACTTCAGGTAATTCTGGGTTATAAACTGGACATTGTGAATTCTTTCTTATGGAGACTTTAGATTGCATTTCATTGTTCTGAAGTGTACTGAGGCTTTTGCCTTACAAGGAAATGAATTTGGTTAGATCTAATACCTCCTGCCATGCCTGTGATAGGTGGTGGCTCAGATATGTATTTCTTGAAGCCTCAACTACAAAGTTGTTGTTGCTGCTGTTGTGTGTTTTGTTTTTTTTTTGTCTGTTGTGGGGCTTGAACTCAGAGCTTGAACACTGCCTCTGAGCTTCTTCATTCAAGGCTAGCACTTTAGCACTTTGAGCCACAGTGCCACTTCTGGTTTTTTGGTGGTTGATTAAAGAGTCTCACATACTTGACTGCTCAGGCTGGCTTTGAACTGCAATCCTCAGCTCTCAGCCTCCTGAATAGCCAGGATTATAGGCGTGAGACACTAATGCATGCCTTAAAAAGTTCTTTTAGTTTGTTCTATATATACATGGTTCAAGGATCTACTAGAGACTTAAGCTGGTTGTAGACACAGAACTTGATGTTTCCTCCTGATTCTGATTCTCCTCTTTGGGCTGGTTCCTTCTCCTTCTCCTGATATCTTCTAAATATAGGTAGAAAGATATGGTCATTCTGGCTTGAAAACTTAACCTGTCTGTCGGTCTATCTATCTATTTTTTAAAAAGTACCCAAAAATCTCTATACACAGCAATAACTACTTTTGCCTTTCTTTTTGAATGTTTTTGTGTATTTTTTCTCAATAAAATTTAGACATTGTCACTCCAGCTGTTTTCATTTCAATACCCTTAACTTTCTTAGTCCTTTGTCCTTCATTTCCCCCATGGGGAAAATTTCTAATTCCTGAGCATCTAGTCATCAACCTATGTAATGTTTGGCTCTGGCCTAAAAAAAAAAAGAAAACTATTCAGAATGCTAATTTTAATCCCAAGGAGCTCGTTCAATTTTATATGTTTGAGATTCTGAATTTTCCACACCTATGAAATACTAATTATTAAGTTATAGAGGTATTTCCCACTAAATTAAATTAATAGACTTACTCATTTTATAGTTTAGTGAGGGAATGTTAAAAGTTGAGCCGCACCTTATTTATAATGGCAGAAAGTGATAAATATCTAGATGTCCATCAATAAGAGACTAGTTAAAGGAATAATGTATACCCATAGCACAGAATACTGCAAGCCAATTAAAATAGCTAGTTGACATGAAAAGAAAAGTAGCAAACATCTACAGTGAGTTGTTGGATGAAAATAAGGCTGCAACAGTAAAAATTAGGATATATTATTTTCATTTATGGAAAACTGCATATACATGTATGTACACACACAGGGAACGATGTGTAACAACCAAATCAATATATTTCATCAATACCTACTCTGCAAGAGATGCTTAGTAAATGCATTATGATAGATACACACATCTCAGGTGGGAATCAGAGCCTATGTAAATGCTACATGTGGGAGAATGTATCTGGTTTTCTAAAATGACTTTGTCTTCCCTGCTCCTATCTTTAGAATAATGAACTGCAAAGCAGATTGGACTATTTAGAAGAAACTCAGCCCAAGACTGAAGTGGAAACCAGAGAGATTGGAGTGGGCTGTGATCTTCTACCCAGGTATTTAAGAATTTCCTGTTTTCCTCATTAAAATTCTTCTCTGACTTAAGAAAATACTTTACTAGCCAAATTGCATTCTTTCTAGCAAAATGATTTCTGCAAAGCTAAGTAAGTGGTATCTGCCAGGGCCTCAGACACCACTGTTTCTGTGAGAGCAGAGGCATTCTGTGTAGAGGAGGAAACAGTGAAGGAGAGACCCAGAAGCCATTGCGGAGAGGGACTGGTCTCTCCCAGAGTGCCTGCCTTTGTTTCTTCATCCACTCAGCAAGTCACTGTTAGTACTTCCCCTGTGCCAGGCATTTATGACACAGAAAGGAATAACATTTGGTCCCTGTCCCAGAGTAGAGTCTGGAAGAGTGACAAATGGGTAGGCAGGGATGGAAGACAGTGTGAGAGGACCACATAGGTACTTATAGCGATGTGGGAGCGAGAGGGTGTAAATCTTGAACAAAACTCATCTGTTCCCAAGCATTGTAGCAAAGTATTGCCAAGTGCAGGATCTGCCTGGTGCATAATGATCTGCTGCTGTCATCAGCACTTACAGGATTACTACCCCCTTATTAGTTTGTGTAGTTAATTTCTGGGCTAGAGAACTGGCCTGTCCACTGTCCAGCTGCTCCCCACACCTGGGCCTGTGTGAGATCTGAGCTCATAATGCAGGCGCCTGCTTCTGGTAACTAACTTGCTATCTTTAGGTGCTTGCAATTGTGCTTAGCCTACAGGACATAAAATGTGTAAAACAGGATGTGATTGACATGTGGTTTGGGATTTAGGGGTTTTAAAATTTAATTTTATTGTTGTGGTAGAGGTGATGTACAGAGGAGTACAGTTACGTAAGTCAGACAATGAGTACATTTCTTTTTGAACAATGTCACCTCTTCTGGACCCCCTTACCCACAAGTTGTATAGTTCATTTTCAAGTGTCTAGTGAGTATTTTTCACCCTTTGTCCTACCATTTCTGTGCTTACCCTCCCCAAAGAGATACACTTACATATAAGACAAGGTACAGAAATAGAAAACAATGACAAAGGAGTAAAAAAAAAACAAGCAAAATAACATAAAACCTCATTTCCATTTCAATGATCATCATTTTATATGATCATATACACATAGCTATTGAACCTTTGTGATCCTCTCCTAAGAATATCCTCCCTTTGGTCTCACTGTGTGAATGTCTATAGTCCTATATAATTTATCCACGATGGAATTCTATGCTTCCACCAGAAAGAGTGATATACTGCTTGTAAGCAAATAGAAAGATTTGGAAAAAAATTATATTAAGTGAAGTAAGCCAGACCCCCCCCCCAAAAAAAAAAACATAGGTGGCACAGTTTCCCTCTTTTGTGGTTAACTAGAAAGTGCCTATAAATCTACAAGTAAACACACTGGATGGCAAAAGACAAAAAGTTACACTTGGACAGGATTTAGGTTATTGCTGGTATCCTGTGTACAGGAGAGGTTCTTCTGTAAGCGGGAACATCTGTGCTCAGTGTTAGTAATCCAGAGGCTGGCATCCAGAATAGGTACATGGTGGGAAAGGGTCTGGCTGATTCCCAAGCCAGGGAGGTGGAATTCCTGGTTCTAGTTCTACTAATTACCAGTAGGCTGTCTTTCTGAAGTTCTTTCTTTCCCAATGTCAAGTCAACAACTTTATTGGGTAACTGCTCTCATATTGAATAAGACAACCTTATTTGGTTGCTTTACTTTTAAAAACCATTTCTGATTATTTTTGTCCTTTTGTTTTAGTTATGGTTCATTAAAACGAGCCACTTGCCACTGTCAAAGGACAAAAGAACATTAAGGAAAGCTTTTTTTTTTTTTAACAAGGTTCTCATTTATATTATCTTCTGGTAAAAACAAGGCAAGTTTATCATACAGATATAACTAACAGAAAATGTTCTTAAAGAGAAAAATATTCAAATAGACTTGGGGTCTCATGAGCTGTGGTGAAATGCATTTGATGAAAATATAACCAAAAAGAATGATTGATTATACTCAGGGATCCCTTTTGAAATAGAAATAATTTGGCCATTTCTCCCCTTTTTCTATTTTTCAAGAACCAAGCAGCTTAGTCCAATCTAATTGCCCACATAATAAATCTTGTTTGGCTAAGACGGGTACAAAACTATGCCTGAAACCAATAAACTGTTTGTTTTCTAATTCCCACATTTTGGCTTGAAACAAGCTTTTCAATTTGTATGTCCAAGTATAGCCTAAGGCAAACTTTTATGGCTAAGTTATGAAACCACAAAGCGGTTTTCATAATGGAAGTGCTGACAGACCCTTAACTTATGGCCACGGTGAACTTGGAAGCCACTTCAGTGTCTAAAAGCAGCTTTTCCATAAATGTAACATTTGCTTTCCCCCAGGATCCATCTTAGCACTTTAACTACCTAGGTCAGTCAGCAGAGGAAATGAAAACTACATAGCCTACAGATCCACATTTCCGAGAGGGCAGAATAATATTTCATTCACTTCCTCTTAGCTATTTATTAAGTGCCTACTATGTGAAAGGCAAGGGGCAGGTCCTGGTGGAGCGGAGACAGGAGGAGCTGTAGCGAGAACTGGGGGGAGTGGTTTTCCATCTGTTTTTTTGTTTTTTTTTGGTAGGTGTTGGTCCTGGAGCTTAAACTCATGGTCTAGGTGCTGTCCCTCAACTTTTTTGCTCAAGGCTAATGCTCAACCACTTGAGTCACACCTGGACTTCTGGCTTTTTGATTATTTGGAGATGAGTCTCCTGGATTTTATTGCCTGGGCTGGCTTTGAACCATAATCATCAGATCTCAGCTTCCTGAGTAGCTAGGATTATAGGTGTAAGCCACTGGCTCCTGGCTCATCTGTGTTTTTTAAAACCGCCTTGCCCTTTGCTGGGACTCCTGGAGAGGCCTCCATGCCTAGAGGTTAGGGCAGGTTATTGGGCCTGTGGGACTTCTCCCTCCCCCACCCCACCCCAAAAAAGTCAGCACTTAATCTGTTTTGAATGTTAGATTAGAAGCAAGATTTTATTTGGATAAAGTTATGTTCCTGTGGGGCCAGGTATGCTGGTTCATATCTGCAACTCCAGCATCTTGGAAGACAAAGATCAAGAGGATTGCAGTTCAAGGTCATCCTAACAAAAGTTAGTGAGACCCCCCCCCCCAACCCTCATCTCAACCAACAAGCTGGGCATGGTGGTGTGTATTTGTCAACCCAACTATGCAGGAGGTACATAGATAGGAAATCAAGGTTTAGGCCCACTTACGCAAAAAAAAAAATGCAAAACCCTACTTGAAAAATAACAAAAGTAAAATGGACAGGAGGCATGGGTGGAGTGGTAGAGCACCTGCCTAGAAATTGTGAGGCCCTGAGTTCAAGCTCCACAGTTCTGCCAGAAAAAAAAAATAACTGTGGTTAAAATAAGTTGGAACTCCCTGGTCTAGATAAATGCCCATGTTTTGTTGAAACCCAGAGGGATAAAAAGACTCACCAGAAGCCATAATGCCAGAGTTAGAACAAGGCTTGGTAGAATATATTTGTAGCTGAAAAACACTTGAGAGAGTTGCTGAATTGTGTTTTGTATGTTCTGACTAAGTTTCTGATTCTTACTTAGATTGTGGATTTGAACCTAACAAGTAAAAGATTCCAATGATGCTTCCTAGACTTTTTTTTTTTTTTTTTTGGTGTTGGTCCTGGGACTTGGACTCAGAGCCTGGGTGCAGTCTTTGAGCTTTTTTGCTCAAGGCTGGGGCTCTACCACTTGAAGCCACAGCTTCAAGTCTAGTTCCAGAATATTTTTTCTAACACCTTTCTCTAGGATACTTTTGATCAATGAAAGTATTGACTTAAACCTCAAAAGAATCCTGCAATGTGGTCCAGTTAAATGAGTTTGGGTTGCTGAGATTCCCTGTGCAGCCAACTGCTAGTTGACTTCAGCCTTGGGCAAGTTTCATCATCACCTTGCTCTTTCTCTCTTAAGATGAGAGTGAGCCTGGCACCGGTGGCTCACGCCTGTAATCCTAGCTACTCAGGAGGCTGAGATCTGAGGATCACGGTTCAAAGCCAGCCCAGGCAGAAAAGTCCCAGAGACTTTGATCTCCAATAAACCACTAGCAAGTCTGAAGTGGTGGTGTGGTTTAAGAGTAGAGCGCTCGCCTTGAGCTGAAGAGCGCAGGGACAGTGCCCAGGCCCAGAGTTCAAGCCCTGTGACTGACAAAAAAAAAAAAA